GTTGACTCATCCCATGCCACAGCTGGCATGCAGCAGGGAAATACCAACTTCAAAAATTGAGAAGCATCAATATCTTCGCAGGGGCTCACAAGGCTGCCTTGTTGCCTTGGAAACTGCCAGACAAATCCCAGTGGGTAAAGCTGGAGGCATAAGCTGCTCCTTTGTGGCTGGCTCACACCTGCTCCTCAGTTAGTACCTGGGGATGTGGGAGCCAGTAAGTGAGCCTCCAAATAGCCAGGAGGAAAGTGACAGATCAAAGTGGGGTTTCTTCTTTTAAGGTGATTTTAGGCTCAGAACTGCCTCTTAACCGTATCAGCTACTCAAAACTCCACTGTGCAAATTGGATGATGATAATTTTTAGGATAGAATTGTTAATACCAGTCCAGGAGTATAGGCTTGCCAACCTCTTCACAGCTCATTGATAAACCCAGGCCAGGAGGCTATTATTATTAGCAATCCTAAGTGTCTCTGGCTTTTCATTGGCCCAAAAGGCTACAGCTTCTAAGCCTGAGAGCTAGCTCAGGTCATGGGTATCTTGTCACTGCAGGCTGCTAGAATTGGATCTGCTCTTTCCGATCAAAATGCTCCATGGTTAGTATTCATTCAATCCAGCTGCCATAGGCTGTTGCCTTCCGTTCCTGTTGGTTTTAATTTGGCTACAGAGTCTTGGTTTGGTCTATTTAATACGGTTGAAGGGCAAACAGCGTGTAAAACACTAAGCTTACACGTAGTGTTGTTTCTCTAGCCTCACACTTTCTTCCCCAGGTCCAAACAAAGATAAGAGCATGACCTCGGGCCTTGGACCCAATTCTGAAGAAATGGGTGCTGAGCTGGGCCTCAGAAGCAATGACTCCTGGCACTCACCCGGGTTTGCAGTGAAACCATTCCTCTTGGGACCTTTTCTGTAACGCCATGCAGAACCCCTTCAGGTTCCCCAAAGGGGATTTATTTTAGAGCAGAGTATCAGGCTATTCTTTGGAAGCATGGAGAGGAATCTATTGTGTTTTCCAAAAGACTCAAGAAACAGGGCCTGCCAGGCGACTGCTGCTGTTGAGCTTTTTATGGTTGCATTTTATTCTTCCCTCTTCTTCTGATTTATTTTACACTTCCATTTTAATAGCCCTCTTTTGAGGGGATGTGGTTTGGTATGAAGAGTTACTGTTTTGTTTTTGTTTTTCATTTGCCTGGAGCTCTCCAAGGAGGGCTTAAACTTGCAGAGACCTTCCTGTCAGCTCGTGCCCCCTCCCCCAAGTCCCTTTCCCTGTCCTGCCCAGCCCCACCCCATCTTAGAGCTCTACCATATGGAAGATCTGTTTCCTGGTAGATGCTCTGGTTGAGGTCAGTGGCAGCTGCTGTAAGCTGCAGAGCCTACGCCCACAGCCAGGGCCCAGCACTGACGTGGCAGTCCTCCAGGCCCTCTCCTCTTACTCCCCTGTAGACATATCCTTTGGAACTCTACAGAACTCCCCACCAACACTTGGCTTCCTGCAGGGTTTTTCTATATCAAGAACTGAGGGTTTTTTGGTCAGAAGGCCAAGGGTAAAATCCCCAAACTGCTTCCATCCAGACCTGATCCTGGTATGGTCCCGACTCTCCCATCAGAAGAGCAGGGTGATAGTACCTGCGTGGGAGTTTCCAGAAGGCTTAACAGGCTCAGACACGGTACATGACTGGAGCAAGGCCGTTCCAATTGCCTGTCTAGTTCTCTACACAGCTGCAGGGAGGGGCTGTCCTCTGCTTTGTTGCATTTTTATTACTTCTGCTGTTGTCAGCCTCGAACCCCACAGCATCTTGATTTCACTACTAGCCTTTGGGTCTGCATCCCTTCATTTTGGGGTACCAATTTCCCCTTTCTGCAGGATAGGGCAGGGTCCTCTTGCTTCCTTGGAAGGCTCCCTGAACAACATCCTAACCTGCTCTTCCAGGCAACTGGAAGGGCCCGTGGGCTGCTTTACTCAGGTATATAAACCTGCAGCCCCTGTTCTGTGAATGAGGCCCCAATGGGCCCGGGAAGCTGGACCAGGCTGCTTGTCTGTGGAGTTCATTCCCATACAGTGACCCTCAAGTGCAGGTCTGTGCCCCAGAATGTGAGCAGTGTGGCTTCCCCTAGGAGGCATACCTGTGAGCTGGCATTCATTACCAAGCAGTCACAGGAGTAAGCCCAGGGCCTTTCAGTAGCATGTGATTCCTGAGGACTCTGGGTCAAGTGGGAGGAAGTGGCCAGTGGAGTGGCCAATGTTCTCTGCTTGCCCCTTGCATTGTTGGCATTTTCACTTTGCTCTGTACAAGAATGGCCTAAGGGAACTAGACTTGGGTGCTTTGTTTTTGAATACCTTCATAGGGTACGTTGTGGTCATTTAACACATGTACAAGTGGGTTATTTTCTAGTTAGGGCAATAAGTACTACCATCTCTTCAACAACTAATAGTTTTTAATGTAATACTATCTATCTTTTGAGAATTTTATACATGTATATAGTGTATTTCATCTCCACAGCTGCTCCTAACTTTATAGTTTCCTTTTTCAATTTTATTTATTCTGCGAAAATTGCAGAGTGTATTTTGATATTATTCATTCCCTTTTTTTTAAATCATTTTTTATTTGAATTAGAAACAAGATGGTTTTACATGACAATCCCAGTTCCCTTCTCCCTCCCTTCCTCCCCTACCACCCCCAACTAAAACCCTACCTATCACATATCCTTTTTTCTATTCTTCCCCTGACTCAACCTTTCTGCTCCCTCATGACCTCTGCATCCTTCCTCTTCCTCCCTTCTCATTCTTGTAGCTCCCTCCCCCCTCTTCCCGTGCTCTCAATTTGCTCAGGGGATCGTGTCCCTTTCCCCTTCTCCAGGGGAACAAGTATGTCTCTCTTAGGGTCCTCCTTGTTTACTAGCTTCTCTGGCAGTGTGGATTGTAGGCTGGTAATCCTCTATGTCTAAAATCCACACATGAGTGAGTACATATCATGTTTGTCTTTTTGTGATTGGCTTACCTTGCTCAGAATGGTTTCTTCGAGTTCCATCCATTTTCCTGCAAATTTCAAGATTCCATTGTTTTCTCTGCTGAGTAGTACTCCATTGTGTAAATGTACCACATTTTCTCTATCCATTCTTCGGTTGAGGGGCATCTAGGCTGCTTCCAGTTTCTGGCTATTACAAATAATGCTGCTATGAACATGGTTGAACAGATGTCCTTGTTGTCTGAATGTGCTTCTTTTGGGGATATGCCTAGGAGTGGAATTGCTGGATCTTGTGGTAGACTGATTCCCATTTTCTTGAGGAGTCGCCATACTGATTTCCACAGTGGCTGTACAAGTTGGCACTCCCACCAGCAGTGGAGAAGTGTTCCCCTTTCTCCACATCCTCTCCAGCATAAACTGTCATTGGTGTTTTTGATTTTGGCCATTCTGACAAGAGTAAGATGGTATCTCAGAGTTGTTTTGATTTGCATTTCCCTGATAGCTAAGGATGTTGAACACTTTCTTATGTGTCTTTCAGCCATTTTAGATTCCTCTATTGAGAATTGTTTATTTAGTTCTGTACCCCACTTTTTAATTGGATTGTTTGTTGTTTTGGAGACTAGCTTCTTGAGTTCTTTGTATATTTTGGAGATCAGCCCTCTGTCAGATGTGGGGTTGGTGAATATCTTTTCCCAGTCTGTGGGCTGCCATTTTGTCTTGCTGACTGTGTCCTTTGCCTTACAGAAGCTTCTCAGTTTCAGGAGGACCCATTTATCAATTGTAGATCTCAGTGTCTGTGCTACTGGTGTGATGTTCAGGAATCGGTCTCCTATACCAATTAATTCAAGGGTATTTCCCACTTTGTCTTCTAATAGGGTCAGCATGGCTGGGTTTATGCTGAGGTCTTTGATGCGTTTTTTACTTAAGTTTTCTGCATGGTGATAGGCTTGGGTCTATCTGTAGTCTTCTACATGTTTGCATCCAATTGTGCCAGCACCATTTGTTGAAGATGTTCTCTTTGTTCTAGCATATAAATTTGGATTGTTTGTCAAAAATCAAGGTCTGTGAAGAATTGTGTTGGGATTTTGATGGGATTGCATTGAATCTGTAGATTGCTTTTGGCAAGATTGCCATTTTTTCTATGTTGATCCTACCTATCCAAGGGCATGGGAGATCTTTCTATTTTCTGGTATCTTTAATATCTTTCTTTAGAGAGTCAAAATTCTTATGGTATAGGTCTTTCACGTTATTGGTTAGTGTTACCCCAAGGTATTTTATGTTGTTTGTAGCAATTGCAAAGGTTGATGTTTCTCTGATTTCTTTCTCCACCAATGTGTCATCGGTATATAGTAGGGCTACAGATTTTTTGAGTTAATCTTGTATCCTGCCACTTTGCTGAAGGTGTTTATCTGCTGTAGGTGTTCCCTGGTAGAGTTTTTCGGGTCACTTATGTAGACTATCATATCGTCTGCAAATAGTGAGAGTTTGACTTCTTCCTTTCCGATTTGTATTCCCTTGATCTCCTTTTGCTGTTTTATTGCTCTAGCTAGAACTTCAAGGACAATATTGAAGAGGTATGGAGAGAGTGGATAGCCTTGTCTTGTCCCCAATTTTAGAGGAATTGCATTGAGTTTCTCTCCATTTAGTTTGATGTTGGCTGTTGGCTTGCTGTATATTGCTTTTATTATGTTGTGATCATGGTGGATGATTTCTCTGATGTGTTCTTGGATTTGATTTGCCAGTATTTTATTGAGAATTTTTGCATCAATGTTCATGAGGGATATTGGTCTGTAGTTCTGTTTTTTAGTTGTGTCTTTGTGTGGCTTGGGTATCAAGGTTATTGAAGACTCATAAAAAGAGATTGACAATGACCCTTCTGCTTCTATTGTGTGGAATACTTTGAGGATAATTGGTATTAGCTGTACCTTGAATTTCTGGTAGAATTCTGCACTGAAGCCATCTGGCCCTGGGCATTTTTGGTTGGGAGACTTCTGATGACTGCTTCAATTTCATTAGGGGTTATAGGTCTATTTAAGTGGCTTATCTGTTCTTGATTTAATTTTGGTAAGTGAAATCTGTCCAGAAAATTGTCCGTTTCCTTTAGATTTTCGAATTTTGAGGCATATAGGTTTTCGAAGTATGACCTGATGATTCTCTGGATTTCCTCGTGGAGCTGGGGCTTGAGCAGCTGCCAGTCTGTTGTTCAGATAAAGAAAGGACTGTCCTTACATTCCTCAGATAAGGTAGCGCTGACAAATAAATCTGTGGCAACAGAAGCCATGGTCCCTGAGTCATAGGCCATGGAGACCCCACAGGTCTCCATCCCTGGGACCCATAAGAAGAATATGGAAAGAGAGCAATTCAGTATGTGATAGCAGGTTTGGCTACAGTGACTGTTGTTATTTTTAGTTAACTACTATTACAATCATCAAAGGATCAAGAGCATCTAAGAAAAAGATCTCATACCCAAGAGCAAGCAGCACAGTGGGTACTTCATAGGCCTCCTTCATGAAAACCATGTCAGAACAAAGAATATGAGAACCGAGTCTTAATCCTGTGGCTTTTGCTCTTCTTGTTGTAGATGGAACAGATGAGGAGCGAGCTACTTCAGGAGAAAGCTGCCAAGCAAGACTTGGAGTGTGACAAGATTTCCCTAGAGAGACAGGTGAGGACAGCCATTCCATGAGGTCCTGCATCCCACTCCCTCATGTTGGGCTTCCCAGGAATGTGGTAGGGGCTTTCCCTACCCCAGGGTCAGTATGTGGGACACTGAGGTGAGGGATAGGATGAAGTTCATGCTCTCCCACAGCCTCGGCCTTTCTGGAGGCTGACTCTGAGGTTCTCTGCTAAAGGCCCAGGTCAGCTCATGAGTGGGCAGAGTTCCAGTTCAGAGAAGACTCCTGACAAGGTGACTCACTGAGAAACTGGCCCCAAATAGGGTACAGCATTTAAGGAAGTCTCAGCATCAAAAAATAAGACTATAACACAATATTTTAAAATGATTGACCATGATCAATGATGAGAAAGCCATTGACATGGGAGGACACAGTCCAGTCTAAAGGCCATGAAAATAATCATACCATGAGAGAAGGGGTGGAGAGGATCAGAACCATCAGTTCTTACATACGCTACTCATGTCAATTTGTCAGAGAGAAAACTTAAAGGGGATGCCCATCTCTCCATCAGGAGTGAGTCCTTGACACATGCCAGCCCTTTCATCCAGGCTCATAAGGCAACATCTTAGAGTCTCTCCTTTGACCTGCTAAGAGATTTTTGGGATTCCCCTGATGCCTAGGCACCGAGCAAATACCTGACTCAATTCAGTAAGCTTCTCTGCCCAAAGAGCATGCCCAACCAAGTTCCTCACAGGCCCCTGTCTGATTTCAGAACAAAGACCTAAAGAGCCGGATTGTCCACCTGGAGGGTTCCTACAGGTCCAGTAAAGAGGGCCTGGTGGTGCAGATGGAGGCCAGGATTGCAGAGCTGGAGGACCGACTAGAGAATGAGGAGAGGTGAGCCCAGCCTGGGGTGGGGCAGGGGGCCAGGCAGCCACTGGTGATTCATTAGGGCTGGTGGGTTGGGAGGTCTCCTTCCATCCTTTCAGCCCCCACCCTGGAAAGGTAGAGCCAAGCTCAGCCTTGCAGTCATTCCCTTTCTTAGATGAAAACAGGGAAGTGATAAAGGTAGCCTGCTTGTGCACGGTGCCTGGATTGAAACTGGAGTGGATTGCAGCTGGCTACTGTCTGTCTGCATTCTATTAAACAAAGCAGGATGCATTGTAAGCAGTTGAGTTTGAGCCTGATTGGACTCAGGGGGCTGCTGTGGCCCTGATGGCAGGTACATTCAAACAGAAGTTGCCAACTACATATCAGGAATGTATCCCCGGTGAATAGGGAAGATGTGGACCCCTTCCCAACAAAATGCTTTTGGAGATAACCACATAGTTCCAGCCTAAGGATCAGCACTGCAGTAAACTTGACCAGCCCTCCAACCTTCCTTGAAGGTTCCTGGTGTATATGTACATAGTTTCAGTAAGATTTCTAGGTATGGCTGGCACAGACCCTAACTACTGGTACTCTGTGGTTCTTTGCTTCAAAAGTTAAGCTCATCAGTGGAAGAATTTAGGACACTTCAGAGTTCTAGCCCTGCAATCTTGGGAGAGTCCTTGGGGCCCGATCTCTCCTCCTGTGACACCAGCAGCCCTTTCTTGCTGTATAGTTGTTTTTCTCCAACCCTGGGATGACCAGGCACCCGTGGCTGGGGAGTCCCATCATCTCCTTCCAGCCTGGGCTTCCTGTGGGGCCAAGAATAAGAGATCGTGTGCTGTTCTGCTTTCTCTACTCGCAGGGATCGGGCCAACCTACAGCTCAACAACCGAAGGCTGGAGAGGAAGGTGAAGGAGCTGGTGATGCAGGTGGATGACGAGCATCTGTCACTGACTGACCAGAAAGACCAGGTGAGAGCGCCTCTGCCTCCTCTCTGTGTCCCTGGTTGAGACAAGTGGAGTGAGTATGCCTAGTTCCCTGCTCCACTCATCCCACAGGGTGCTCCCACTTTTTCTGTGAGGCGGGGTGCCTGGGGAAGTGGCTGGGTCCCTGGCATCTCCTGCTGTGGCTTTTCCAGCTCAGCTGGTCCTTCAGCCAACACTCAACTTCCATCTTTCCTCACACAGCTGAGCTTGCGCCTGAAAGCCATGAAGCGCCAGGTGGAGGAGGCTGAAGAGGAGATCGACAGACTGGAGAGCTCAAAGAAGAAGCTCCAGAGGGAGCTGGAGGATCAGATTGGAGTAAATGAGCAGCTTCAGGGGCAGCTCAACTCTATGAAGAAGGGCTTAAGGTGGGTAAAGGTGGCGGCCCAATGAAGTCCGTAGCATCCCGTGACACTTGTTAGAGTCATTTCAGAATACTCTTCCTCCTATGGCCTCAAGCCAATTTTCCACTGTTGCCCTCTGGGGTCATCCCATCCTTGAGGCAAAAGTGGCTGCGTCTATTTGAGTCATCCTCATGTTCAATAAGGTCTCACATAAGCCATCTTCACACCAGCGTTTAGCAGAACCCAAGGCACAGAGCAGGTCAGGGTACCCCCACCATGGAGGGGCATCTCCTGTCTGACTGCCAAGCCACTCTGAGGAAAACTAAGGATGAGGCTAGAGGACTGTTTTTCCAGGACCAGGGTCGGAGATACTGTGGTGAAAGGTGAGCACAAGTTCATGCTCACCCAGAATGCCAGCCTTTGGGGTAGGCTGCCTGTGCCTGGGGTTCTGTGCTGCCAAGCCAGGTAGTGCCTCACAGCTGACAGATGGCTCCAGCTCACTGAGAATCCTACCGTGGACTAGAACTGACCCCAAGGTCAGCGGTAAGGACTCCGTGGGCAAGAGATGTTAAGATATTAAAACATTATTGTATGAGGATGTTGATCAGTTGGTGGAGTGCTTATCTCCCATGCAGAAGGCCCTGGGTTCCAACCCTAGCAGCCCATATAAAGTAGGTGTGCTGACACAAGCCCGTGACCTCAACACTTAAGAGGCAGAGACAAGAGGATCCAAACCTCAAGGCCATCCTTGGCTGTATACTTAGCTTGAGGCCAAGATGGGCTACATAAGAGCCTGCCAAAGAAATCAACAATGTATGAGACTCGTAGTGAATAAGAAGCACCCTGCCCAGCCTTCTTGGAGTTAGGCAATAGGAGAAATCGGTCATACTGTCTGTGGCTCGCCCCAGACAGAGATCAGGAGTAATAGACAGTTTGCACCTGTTGCTAAGAAAAACACTTGGTGCAGGCAAATTCATGAATATGCATGGAGTGGAGGTCAGGAGTCCGACAACCCTCTCTCCCATCTCCAAATCAGAGACCAGCCGTAGTCAGGGTCCAGAAACCTCTCCTTTGTGTTTCTGCAGACTTAAGACGCTGCCTAGTAAAGTACTGGATGACTCAGACGACGACGACCTCAGCAGTGATGGGGGAAGCCTCTACGAAGCACCACTGAGCTATTCCTTTCCCAAAGACAGCACCCTCACCAGCCAGATCTGAGTCCGCTTCCAGGCCTATTGATCCCAGAGGACTCTGAAGCCATCCCGAGCAGGAGGTGCCAACAGGGGGCTTGTGAGTGGAGTGACACACACAGTTTCCACTTCACATCCTCCCCAGGGCCTCCATGTGGCTCAATGACCTTGGATCGTAGATAGGGAGCTATTGACGTTGAAAATGACCTAAGGGGGACATTTTGGAAAATGCAGCTAAGACAAGCCCTGTTGTGTACCATTGTCCGCCATCACCCCTTCTCCTCTCCCAGCAAGGTTCCAATATGCCAGCTGTAATGAGACAGCCACATGTAGGGATGGGATGTATAGACTGTACATATTTTAAATCAGACCTTCTCAAGGACTGCTGCTGTCCTGCTTTAGGATGTCCCAGAGCCTTTGGAGCGTGGCATCTTTGTAAAGTTCACACATCGACGTGGATTATCTTTTAAAATATGAAGCTACCAGATCTCAAGTATTAAAAAGCAGAGGCCAAAGGGGGAAGAGTGAAGGCTACTCTGGAAATCAGAGGTGGTCACACAGTGGAAAGTTAGCACTGGGAATCCGCTCATTGTTGGTGGGGAGGGGATTTTACCTAGGGCTGAGTCTGTGGTAAAAATAAGTCTTGGTTGCTTATTTTATCTAAACCATGCTAAGAGCACTTCCCATTCCCCAATTTCTTTCAAGCAGGTAGAATAGTGATGCAGATGGGATTTTTTTAGCAAGTGCTGTGCTTCTCAAAGGACTAGGGTCCTGTTGGTGTGTCTCATTGGTCCTTTTTCTCCATAGCTGGCCAAAATTGGAGGAGTAGGGGGGCGCTATGATACGGGGACTTAGATGCGAAGATGAGGTGGGAGGCATCCAGTAAGTTCACAGGGAAAGCATAAGGGAGATGTGGGGTGGAACTGGCGTCAGGAATACGGAGACGTTCCTGAAAGTTAGCGAATGTGCAAGAAGGGGAGGGGTAGTGTTGAGCTGGAGCTTGGAATGATGGGAATAAGAAAAGAATCGGGGGTGCTTGCCAGCTGAAGGTCATTTCTGGGAATGAGGTGACATGAATCCTAGAGCAAGTGCATGATGCCAGGGCAGCCTTGGGGAGGATGCTAGGCATCCCTGCACATCTCCTGGCCTACCAATGTCATCGAGCAGTGAAAGGACCTTGTAAGTTGGCTATGTAAGGCAGAGGTGACAGGATGCTGAAGCAGGGTCCCAAAACTTCCTGATAAGGGGACTCTTGGGGACCAGGTTGTCAAGAGCTGCCCAGTGCAGGTCACAAAGTTCACCTAGCCAGATTTAAAGTGAAGGGAGCTGAAGCGTGAACATTTGCTACCAGTGAACCAAGCCCTATTATACCTCATGATGGTCACTGTCTCCCTGGGCATGGCCCTTGCCTCTGTTTCCTCATTGGGTATAGAGAGGTTTCTCCTTTCAGCCATTCCTCCATTTTACAAATGTGTACTGTCCATCAAAGTGTGTGGGGCACAGACTGTGGCACTGGAAACACAATGACTAGAAGTAAAAATGTCTGTCAGACTGGAGATGTAGCTCAGCTAGAACAGTGCTGGACTATCATGCACAAAGCCCCATCTTTAAGCCCCAGCTCTAGCAACAAGGTATGGTGCCACATCCCAACACTCAGGAAGTGGCGGCTGGAGAATCAAGAGTTCAAGGTCCTTGGATACACATTCAGTTCCAGACCAGTTTGGGATCTAGGAGACCCTGTCTCAAAAAACAAACCACCTCTGGCCTCCTGTAATCTAGGAGAGTGGCTAAGTTTGACTTGCAGGCTGAACCCTCTTATCCCCAGCCTTTGAGCCCACTGTCCTCTTGGGAACTTGATAGCCTGCAGTTGGTTGGATGGCCCCCCAGAACTCACAGGAATTCTATGGCTCCTGGGATTTCCTCATGCCTTCATTAGATACTTGCAATAATCCTAGAAATGCCACAGTCTGTTCACTCCAGAGATTCGGGAGAGAAAAATCAAGATGTTGAAGGGGTTTTCTGGGGTTTGACAAAATCAGCCGGCTCTTATTTCAGACAGTTCTTTCTGGTAGCCATGGGGCTAGCTACATGAAGGATAAGAGCCCCCGAAAAACAGAGGCCACTACTGGGAAAACTTAGAGACACCCCCCTCAAAAAGGGAGGCCACATAGGACGAGGTGCATATTCTCTTGCGTGGTAATGGAGTAGGCAGCAGGTGAGGTTTGTGCAGTATGGCTGGCCGCATGACACTAGACTGAGATTTAGAGAGATGTTTTCAAGGACCAAGCTCCTCTCTTCCCTTTGGTCTTGGCAGATAAATGCTGGGACAAGGTGAGGAATAGGGTTCCAGGTCCTACTCAATCTGGCCCTGTGACCCATTCCTCTGTTTCTTATGTATACATGTTTTTCTGCTTATTGCTTTAAGAACTAATCCTGCTCAAGAGTATTTTTCTTTAGCTAGCTTAAAAATATTTTGTGTAAACACATGTTGCCAAATACAACGCTGAGATGACAATCACTGTATGGCTTTTATAATTTGTTTTCCTGCTTCAGAGTGTCGTTCTACCATGACAATTGGATGTCTGTGGGGCTTTTTTCGGTAGGATTTGGATACTATGCGTTGTTATGGAGAAGAGACATTTTTATCACAGCTACCTCCATGCAAGTGACTTCCTGGATAAAGTAAGATTTCCTTTCAATAAACTATCACCTGACAGGAATCTTGGCTCCTGTATTATTTTCTATCGCTTGATTCCTGGGGAGTTTGGACGGTTGGATGGCTGCCTTACTTGCTGTGCAAGCATGAGGACCTGAGTTCGATCCCCAGAACCCACATAAAAAAAAGCAAGTGTAGCAGCACACACCTATAACCCCTGGGACAATGGAGACAGGTGGATCTGGGGTCTTGTCATTTGAGCCAAATTAGCTAGTTACAAGCCAGAAAAACTACCAATATAAAATGGGAACTGCAGTGGTTGTCCAACCCCATAGCCACTTTGTGAGATAGCATGGCGTGGTCAGCAGTGAATGTTGGTGAAACATTAGCCATGGAGGACCATGATGCTCTGAGATCTCCAAATGGTTCGTGCCAGAAAAATCACAAAGGGAAATTGTTCCAGCTTCTCAATTAAGAATCCGACTCCCTTCCCTGATGGTGGCTGGCTTCCCTGCAGCCACCGTTTGTATGGTCCCCTCTTGCCCTCACAGGCCACCCACGGTCTCCATTTCACATGGGGCTAGCGCCACTTCTCCCTAGAAGGGATTCACACAGGTCACCCTGTTAACTCTGTCCCGCACCCTGACTTCAGGGAGCTGCGGTCTAGACACTAACTTCCTGATTGGTTATTTCTCTGGCTGCAGCGGTCTTGGGTGTGCTCCCTAGGCCTGTGGTGACCCACGTGTCCATTGAACCTCATTTCCTAAAGGTAGCCATGGCTCTCTGGGTTTCTCAGTGTCCCTCCCGAGTTTCCCAATGCTGCCTGCACTCCGTAGCTACCCTTCATTGAGCCTTTTACACAGCTGGTCCTGGTGTCTGTCCCCCACGTATGTAAACGTCTTAGCTAGTCTGCAGGCACTGCTTCCCCTCAGTCAAAGCAGGAGCAACCCAAATGTGAGGTGTTTGCATTTTACAAGCTCCCAAAGCCTTTAAATTATATCTCATTGTTAGGCAGACATTGAGGCATAGTTTATAATTTGTAAATAAAGTCTTCCTGCCAGCATCTAACTTTCAGGATGGATAGAAATCTTTGTCTCCTCTCAGCAGTATCCCCTGGGTGGGACTAGGATTCCATGTGGCTCCTGTTCTGAGATGTTGGGAGGGAAGGTTCAGGAATCCCAGAGTGAAGGGGATAAGTCCTCCCTGACTGCCCTGCCTTCCTTCCACATTCTTGACATTCCACCTTTGACCTTGTATTACCAGTAATCCAGTCTCGGACAACTCATTAGAATTTTCTCTAATTAAAACAAAACAAAAAAATCCAACTTAATAGCAAGTTTTTAGGAGCTTAAGGGTTCCCAATCCAGAAATGCCTGGCCTTCCAGAAGAGGCAACACACCTGGCCCCTGGTTCTCAGGCCAGCTAAACCACACTAAAGTCTCCACTAACTTTCCTGTTTGTAGACTCAGAACCTGAACCAAGTCATCAAGCAACAACGGGGAGGGGGAGAGAGAGAGGGAGAGTGCAAACATACAAACATATCCTTCTGGATTTAGAAAGTGGAAGAACATGTTCTGAAAGTCATTCAACTCAACAGCTACTGTCTGCAGGAAGGGCACAAGTTTCTCTCAGGCAGACTCTGCTTGGTCTCACCACAGATGGTCATCAACTTGCCAGGATGCCTAGAGCTTTGCTGAATAAATAGCTCTTTTAGTAGGATGGTAGAGACCTTGGAAAGTCAAGAAACTTGATCTTGGGCAAGTTGTGTGTTACGATAAATCTTTCCGCCAAAAGCCACCTGAGCCCCACTGCCATGTGTGAGCTTTACACCAGCCTCCCGCCCGAGTTAGGCCCAAATGAATACACAGAAACTTGTATTAGGTTTAAAGCTGCTTGGCCAATGACTAGATTTCTCATCTGTTAGCTCAGTCTTAATTATCATAGATCTATTTTATAAGACTTATCTTATCGGATGCCTTATTGGCGTCCCTCCTTTTGTGGCTCACATTGTGCCGCTGGAGCAGGAGCTGAGGGGAAAAGAGGGCATACTTCCCGTTTCCTTGCTTAGATATGAGTCTCCTTGCCATGTCACTTCCTGCCTGGATCACTTCTCTGCTGCATTTCCCTGAATTCTCTTTGACTCCTAGTCCTTGCTTGCCATTGACCAAACAGTATTTTATTCAACAATCAGTAAGATAAACATACAAAGAAGTACATTCCCCATCAGTGTGTTTTGCTGCTAGGTGCACTTGGAAACAGCAGCTAGTGCACCTATAGAACTTGCCAGCAGGGGGCAGGTGTCAGTGCTACACAAGCAGTCTGGGGCCCCTGGAAGCTTACTTACAAAGTAAGTAAAAAGTGGTAAAAAGTGGTGAAGGTAGAGCCACACTGAGGAGAGATTACAGTCTGAGGATTGATGAGAGCTCATGGAGACAGGATCAGCCCTTTCAGTCTGAGGTCGAGCTCAGGTGTTAAATTAGAAGGATGCTGTGCCCTTGGTCACTCAGCCTCACTCAGCCATTCCTCCAGCTCACGGAAGTTTGGGACACTTCAAGAATTGAACAGAGAAATCCTAAGCAAGCTGCCTGAATCTGCCTTCCTTTTCTTGTTCTGTCTTCCTTTGGAGAACAAGGACCAATTGAACTGGTGAACTAGTTTCCTCCAGCCGTGGATGCCTTTGACAGAATAACAGCAGAAGATAACACAAAAGAAATGAACAGCGATCCAACAGTGGGGTCCTCCTCCAAGGTGCCAGAGGGCGTGGCAGGTGCGCCCAATGAGGCTGCATTGTTGGCACTGATGGAGCGCACTGGCTATAGCATGGTGCAGGAGAACGGGCAGCGCCAAGTATGGTGGGCCCCCTCCTGGCTGGGAGGGCCCGCATCCCCAGCGAGGCTGCGAGGTCTTCGTGGGCAAGATCCCGCGTGATGTGTATGAAGATGAGCTGGTGCCTGTATTTGAGACGGTAGGCCGTATCTATGAGCTGCGCCTCATGATGGATTTCGATGGCATGAACCGCGGCTATGCCTTCGTCATGTACTGCCACAAGCACGAGGCCAAGCGAGCTGAGCTATTCGTGAGCTCAACAACTATGAGATCCGCCCAGGCCGCCTGCTGGGTGTGTGCTGCAGCGTGGACAACTGCCGCCTCTTCATCGGTGGTATCCCGAAGATGAAGAAGCGCGGGGAGATCCTGGAGGAGATCGCCAAGGTCACCGAGGGCGTGCTCAATGTGATCGTTTATGCCAGTGCCGCAGACAAGATGAAAAACCGAGGCTTCACCTTCGTGGAGTATGAGAGCCATCGCGCTGCAGCAATGGCGCGCCGCAAGCTCGTGCCGGGTCGCATCCAACTGTGGGGCCACCAGATCGCTGTGGATTGGGCCGAGCCCGAGATCGATGTAGATGAGGATGTGATGCAGACAGTGAAGATCCTCTACGTGCGCAACCTCATGATCGAGACCACCAAGGAGACCATCAAGAGGAGCTTTGGCCAGTTCAACCCAGGCTGCGTGGAACGGGTCAAGAAGATCCGCGACTATGCCTTCGTGCACTTCACTAGCCGTGAGGACGCCGTACATGCCATGAACAACCTCAGTGGCACAGAGCTGGAGGGCTCCTGCTTGGAAGTCACGCTGGCCAAGCCTGTGGACAAGGAGCAGTACTCCCGCTACCAGAAGGCTGCCAAGGGTGGTGGTGCCTCAGCAGAGGTGGTAGCCCAACAGCCCAGCTACGTGTACTCCTGTGACCCCTACACGTTGGCCTACTATGGTTACCCCTACAACGCGCTCATCGGGCCCAACAGGGACTACTTCGTGAAAACAGGCAGCATAAGCCGAGGGCGAGGTGCAGCTGGAAACAGAACCCCAGGGCCCAGGGGTTCCTACCTTGGAGGATATTCTGCTGGTCGTGGTATATATAGCTGATATCATGAAGGCAAAGGCAAACAGCAAGAAAAAGGATATGAACTTGTGCCAAATTTGGAAATCTCTACTGTCAATCCAGTTGCCATTAAACCTGGCGCAGTGGCCATCCCTGCCATCGGTCCCCAATACTCCATGTTCCAGGCATCCCCAGCCCCTAAAATTGCAGATGGCAAGATCCACACAATGGAACACATGATCAGCCCCATTGCGGTGCAACCTGACCCCGCCACTGCTGCTGCCGCCGCCGCTGCCCATGCTGCTGTTATTCCTGCGGTATCCACACCGCCACCGTTCCAGGGCCGTCCAATAACGCCTGAGTATACCGTGGCACCAAATGTTCAGAGAATTCCCACCGCCGGCATCTATGGGGCCAGCTACGTTCCCTTTGCTGCTCCTTCCACTGCCACGATCGCCACACTACAGAAGAACACTGCAGCCGTGTACGGGGGCTACACCAGCTACATACCTCAGGCCTTCCCCGCTACTCTCCAGGTGCCCATCCACGACGTCTACCAGACTTACTGAGACCAGGGACTAGAGCCAAGGCAAGCAAAACACTGCTGAAGGAACACTTTACTATTTATGAAGAAAGAACGTGTCAGATTAGCACACGTGCAAAATCTGCAAGTGAAGAATGTTAGCAAATATCACACTGAAATATTTTATATCCATGAAGTTTTCACTCTTTTTTAAAGACTTTAACTTAGCAGGCCCGCGTTTATACATTGCTAAGAGACTTGCAACGCCTCACGCCTTAATACCATCTTTTAAAATTTGTACGCTCTACTGCATTTGTACAGAGGTTTGGTTTTGTTTTTTAAGGATATATTTTCAGTATGAAGGTTATTTTCTTAACTTCTGCACTCCAGAGATTTCTATTTTGTAGAACCTTTCAAAAGGTATCAGCTATATAAATATACATATATATTTTAAAAAAAGCACATCCAAGCATCTAGGGTACTATTTTTAAAATTATATTCAATATTTAAAGATACAAACTGTAGTGCTTTGAAATGCTACATAAAGCATTATTTTTAAAGGTGATGCTGGAAAGCACAATTTCAAAAAGTAAAAATCTCTGCTGTATTTCCCTGGCATTAAGGGTTAAGGGTATTGCCATGTACTATCATGGTTTCTGGTTTGGGGGTTTTGTTTTAGTAACAATCTCATCACACCCAGAGTGTTTAGCTTGGTATTTGAAAAGCTTTAGATTTCGCTGCATTTCCAGAGTACATTCTTAGGATGTGGTAAATAAAGCTTTAAAGCAGAAAAAAAAAAGTGGTGAAGGTAGATGTTCGGTACAGTCATTTGTTATGGTTACGTCATGATGAGTGCCTTTCTTTTTGCTTTGCTAAGCCCTCTGCTCAGCGTCCCAAGTCTGTGCTGTGCAAGGACTGGTGTATGCCATGCTTACCCTGCCATTCTGTACCTACTCACAACCATCCTGGAGTGTGTCCTGATGGGAAAAGTGAGATGACCTAGACAGGCACACAACCTTGCCAAAGGCACAGGGCAGGATGTAGACACTTAGGACTAGATCCGAGTCAAGCTCTAGAGTCCACTCTGCTCACCCACCAGCATCACAGGCAGGAGAAGACCGAGACCGTTCAGGTCATTCCTATGGTAGGAGCTTCCATGCCCTTCCAATCTGCCTGCACTTCAGTCACCCCTTGCACTGTTAGGTTTTGGCCACTTGGCCACCGCCACAAGAGACTGCCAGAGAGCACAGTGACCCTTTGACTTTTTTCCCCCTCTCTTCGAACTAGAGGTCTGGGGTGGTTGGCGGCTGCAACCAGTTGAAAGACCCAAGCTAACACGGGGTTAGCTCATTAAACAATAAAGCCTCATGCAGTTTACATCAAGCTTTCGACTCTACCTGGTGATTGGGGGTAAACGTGATCCTGGGCTGAGATCCTGGAGGCCTGAGCTTTCCGGGAGTCTTACAAACTCACCTGCTTCATCTGTGAGAGCTACTTCACAGACCCAGTCACCATAAGCTGTGGCCACAGCTTCTGTAGGGCCTGCCTCCATTTCTCGTGAAAGCCAACTTCCTGCCCATTGCCCTACGTGTAGGGAACCATCCTGACAGAAGGACTTCAGAACCATTGTTCTGAAGAAGCTGGTGTCCATTGCCAGACAAGCCAGCCTCATGAAATCCCTGAGCTCCAAGGAACATAAGTGTGTGACCCACAAGGAGATGAGGACGACCTTCTGTGTCTACCTCTGTCAACTGTGCTCCGACTCCCCCGAGCACAACGCTCACACAAACTGTCCCATTGAAGCAGCTGCTGAGGGCCAAGTGGAGAGACTTCTAAAACAAATGGCATCTTTTTGGGGAATAGCCAAGAAAATCAGGAGAATCTCGAGGCCGAGAGGAGAATGGCAACTCAGTTGACAGAACACTTGACTCAGCAGGAAGAAATGATCAGGACAGAGTATCCAGGACATGGTATCCAGTCCCCAGTGAAGAGGAAGAGCAATGTATGGAGTATATGGAAAATGAAGGCCAATGTGTTGTAGATACACTCAGGGAAAGTGAAGCCATGATGCTCCTAGAGAGCAATGAAGAAATGTATCAGCAGCTGATGGCAATGTCCCAGAAACCATACTTGGCACTTCTCCAGGGTTTGGACGACATGTTCCAAATGCATGAGTCAATGCAGCTGAGCATGCCCCAGGCTCTGAAATCAGAACTCCAGGCCTTACCCATCAATGGACTGACTGAAAGTTTCCAGTCCTTTCAAGCACACATTTTGTTTGAATATAGTCAAGCTCCATTACAAGATGTAATGTCATGAGAAGTCAGCTTTGGACCTCATCAGGATCCATCTGGGTATCCTGTTGGATGCTATGTGACGACCTGTGGCTCACAGAGCTTCTTCTCAGGGAAATATTACCGGGAACTGGATTTGGAGGACTCTTGGGACTGGGCTGTAGGAGTCTGTACGGATTCCTGGTTAAAGAGAGACAAAAAGTTGAATCTGAGGGTGCATTTCTTTGAGTGTGTGAAAGAGGGTAATCATTACCGTCTCCTCACCACATGCCCAGTAATCAATCCATCACTATATAGAGAAGCCACTGGGCCAGGTTGGTGTGCTCCTTGGTTGTGATGATGGATGTTTAAGTTTCCTGGATGTTGCCAGGAGTTCACTCATACTAGTGTCCTCTTGGTACATTCAATTCCCCTCTCTGGCCTTCCCCCCCCCCTCCAATGGCCACATAGTATCATAGGAAGATGTAATCAAGTATTTTAGTGTTTAAGTATTTACTGCTATAATGCTACCTCTTATTGCTATTAAATATTAAAATAGCATTAAATAAAAAATTTGATAAGATAAAGGCGGCCACTATGTAACAAAAAGATCAATTTGACAAGGGGGAATCTCGAAGATATATGCATGTAATTCTGAAGTGCGAATTATATACAGCAAACGTTATTAGATCTGGGAAGAAAAATACAATATTATGTACTTCAACACCCTACTTCTATCAATAGAGATCATCAGGCCAAATAAATAGACTAGGTTATAGAACAAATGGATGGGATGGGATAGTGATTTTCAAACAATTCAACCAAGAGCTTTGTAAATGTATTGATCTGTGGGTATGGGTGTGTGTTTGAATGGGCACATTAGTTCAGTGCCAGCAGAGGCCAAAAGAGGGCCTAGGATCCCCTGGAGCTGCATTTAGAATTGCTTGTGAGCTGCTTGGGGTGGATGCTGGGAGCTAAACCCCAGTTCTCTGCAATATCAAGTATTCTTAACCACTGAGTCAGCTCTCCAGCCCCAGGATTTACATTCTTTACCTCAGTCCAAGAAATAGTCTCAGGCTACAACCCAACTCTCAAATTCAAAAAAGGACAAAGTCATACCAGGCCTATTTCTATAAACACAGTGGAATAAAACTAGAAAAATCAGAAATTCCAAAGTACAGGGAAATTAAATATACTCCTGAATTACCATTGGGTCAATGAAGAAACAAAAAAGTTTGAATTTTCTTGAAACAAATGAAAATGAAAATATGGTGTAGCAAAATTTCTGAGTAAGTAACACAGTAGTAAGAGAAAGTTTATATCCATGGTGCCTAAATTAGAGCATGGGAATAGCAGCCTAATGATGCCACTCAAAACAAATCCCAAAGCAGAAGGAATGGAATAATGAAGATCAGGGAAGAAGTGACCAAACAGAAAATGTGGGGAGCAACACAAAGAACCAGAAAAATGGCTCAACAGGTAAAGTCACTTGCTACCAAACCTGATGACCTGTTTGATCCATAGGACCCACATGGTATGAGAGAATTCCTACAAGTTGTTCTGACTTACACACACAGGCCAACATGCATGTAGCTACACAATGAACATATACTTGTACACAAATGAGTGGAAAAATTTAAAAGCACACAGGGTCAATGAAAACAGTTTTCTGAAACAAAAGTTAAAAAATTCTGTATATGATCAAGAGACCACACCCCAAAAAGTGATATACATTGAGATAAACACCAAAGGCACAGGTGATGAGGAAACTATAGCAGAAAACCTCCAATTCCAGAGAAGTAAACATTCAAACAAACACTTAGAACCCCAGGTAGACCTCAGGGAACTTTTCCATGATATATTATAGTCAAGACGTCTAAACCACAATGAGCCAAAAGGCTACAAGAGAAAAATGCTAACTTACCTTCAAGAGGCAGAACCCCCAAGCAACACCAGATCTTTCACTAGCAAAACTTGTAAAGCCAGGAAATCATGCATTGATATATTTCAAACCCTGAAAAGGAAATAACTGCCAATCAATCATGATTACTATACCCAGCAAAGCTATCTTTTAAAAAAAAATGGAGAAATCATAACAGTTCTAGACAAACCAAGGCAGTTCATGACCAAAGCCAGCACTGCAGAAGATACTTAAAGGGATACTGCACACAAATGAGGGATAAGGACAGTCTCAATCACAAATATGACTCAGATGTCAGATTGTTCTTCAAAAGGCCTTCCCCATGTGCACAGACCCAGCACACATACACACACATGCCAGGCTCCGTTTCCCTCTGCCCCTCAGGTTTGAGGACTAGCTTTTCTTTTTCAGGGTGTCCTCTTATTCCTGTTGCTTTCATGGAATACCCTGATAAAAAGAAACTTAGAGAATGGGTTTGTTTCAGCTTACAATTCCAGGTTATAATCCTTTATTGTGGGGAAGTCAAGCCAGGAATTCCAAACAGCCACTCACATCACACCCATAGTCAAGAGCAGAGAGAAAGAATGCATACATCATATATGCTCACTTGTTTGCTCGTGCTCACATCCATTTCTTGACTCTTACACAGTTCAGGACTCCATGCCTAGGGAATGGTGCCATCCACACTGGCCTGGGTCTTCCGACATCAGTTAATTCAGACAATCCCTCACAGACATCCTCATAGGCCAACTCACAGTAGACAAATCCTCACTGAGACACTTCCTAAGTGATTCCAGGCTGTGTCAAGTTAATAAGCCAGCCATCACATAGGACAGTTCCTTTATATGTTGCTGTGGAGGTATAGTTTATAAAGTATATTTTGTCTATTCTTTATCTTTTAATTTTAAACATTAGATCTGTGTAATTTTAACATGGCATCTTATAGAACATGTAAATAGAACAATTTGTTAAACAGTGAAAAAAAAATCAGTCTCCCACCCTTGGCCCAAATGTTTTCAGTTTCTGTGTCTAAGCTTTTCCATGTCCCCAGAGTTTCTAGGTGGCCCAATAAAAAGTAAAGGCAGGGTCTGGAGAGATGACTCAGGAGGTAAGAGCACTGGCTGCTCTTCCAGAGCCAGGTTCAGTTCTTAGCATCCACAGGGCAGCTCATGACTGTCTAGAATTCTAATTGGAGGGGAGCCAATACCCACTCTGACCTCCACAGGCACTGCATAAGTATGGTACACATTTATGCATGCAGGCAGAACACTCATACATAAAACTAGGTAACTTCTTTTAAAAAGCAAAGATGGAGTTGGGTAGTGGTAGTGCATGCCTTCAATTTCAGCACTTGGGAGGCAGGGGCAGGTGTATCTCTGAGTTGGAGGCTGGCCTGATCTACAGAGTGAGTTCCAGGACAGCCAGGGCTACACAGAGAAAACTTATTTTGAAACAAACAACCCAAAACCAAAAAAAACACAATATAAAACAAAAGTCTAAAGAAAAGTAAAGCCAATTTGAAGCCAGCTGGTGGCATACTCCTCCTCCGAGCATTGAGAGTTACAGGCAGGGGTTCAAGATCATCTTGAGTACCTAGGGAATTTCAGGCTAGTCTGAGACCCTCACCATCACCAGCAATAAAACGGCATTGAGAGGATTTTCACAAGATAAGGGAGAAAGTGTGGGTCCTGGGACTGGGGACCCTCTGGCTGACCGCTCCCCCTGGAGTCTCTCGGGAAGCTCGCTAGCTGTCCTACAAGCCTTGGAACCACTCACCAAAAGGACTGTTACTAGGCCTCAGGACTCACGCACCAGGGAGATGGCCCCGAAGAACAAAGGCTGTTCACAAGGGTTGCCCCCCACCCCCCAGGGACCAGAGCACCGGCAATACAAAGGGGGTCCCTCTAAGAGGGATGAGGTTCGCAGAGGCCCAGGTCTGCAAAGGCCAAATCCCATATGTGAACCCAAGCTCCTGGGTGAACCGGCCTTTTCACTTACCTTTTCCTCCCCATCTCTTGAGAGCAGTCTTTTGCTTCTCTTTGGGAGATCTGTACCTCTTGCTCATCCTCTGCCATTTGCCATCCGTCTTAGGTGACCAGGATCAAAGCAACTTAGGCGGAGAGGAAGCCAGAACAGGCACTCAAACGGCAGGAACCGGGAGGTAGAAGCTGATGCAGAGGCCTCGGAGAAACGCTGCTTACTGGCTTGCTCAACCTGCTCTCTTATAGAACACCAAGGACCACCTGTCCACGGGCGGGTCCTCCCCCCGCCCATTAATCACTAATTTAAAAAATGCCCTACAGGCTTGCCTACAGCCAGATGGAGACAATTTCTCAATTAAGGATTCCTTCCCTCAGATGACTCTAGTTCGCATCAAATTGACATGAAACCTGTCAGCACACAGTCTTTCACGTTGTTTTAAATCCCTCTTTTGCCCCAAGTCTCAAATGAGACAGGAGGTATCTCTACCCCAAAAGTCCACAGTGGGTTGAGACCATAAGACTGTAGCCAGGAGTGCAAAGAGGGTGGAGACTAATGGGGTGGGTAGCTGGGTAAGTTACTGCAGTGTTGGCCTCTTCTTTCTGGGGTGACCACAGGTTTGTATCAAAGCCGTGTAGTCTGTGGGAGACAGACTGTATAACCACTAAGTATCAGTGGTAGCTGTGGCACTCAAAGTTTTCTGCAGGCTACAGGGTTCTTCAGGGGCTCTTTAAGGCTTCCACCATGGAGGTGGAAGACTTTTTCCGGGTTACCTGCAGAATCTTGGTGTAAAACATGAAGTAGCCAGCAGAGGGAGCTAGTGGCTTCTTCTGGTAGCGCTAGAGCAGTTCCTGAGTGTTGCGAAAGCGGCCCCACCCCTCAGAGGAGCAGTCCCAAGGAGGGCTGTAGACAGGGTTTCAGTTGCTTCATGCTCCTCTATTCGCTGCTGTTCTGATAATTCTGATCCATGCGTTTGCCACAAGTCCCTGTTTTGACAAAGTTTCTTTAAGGAGAATTTGTTGTGTACTTGCTTCACACCAGCCAATGCACAGGCCTTAGGCTTTGATGGGTCAGAAATGTCCACTAAGAACTCATAAGAATTAAAATTTGGACCACTGCCTGGCCTCCATGACTAACTAGTGGTTTATCTCTGCACTCTGGTCTTCAGGCAAGCTTTATTGCAGCATAAAGAAAATGTCCACAATCAACATACAGTTTTGTTGTTTATTTTTATAGAGACATCTAAAGCTTATATTCAGAAATGTTTCAGATTCTGCAGTAATGGCAGTTGATTTTTTAACAGTTAACAGAATGACTAATAAATGTATTGTTAATCCTTACTTTTGTCTATTTGCAGCTTATAAAACACTACACAACAAAATAATGATCTGTTAAAAAGACTGGTAAACCGAGTATCAGCTTCCACAATGCCTGTGCAGGCAGCTCAATGGACAGAGTTTCTGCCCTGTCCAATCTGCTATAATGAATTTGATGAGAATGTACACAAACCCATCAGTTTAGGCTGTTCACGTACAGTTTGCAAGACCTGCTTGAATAAACTTCACCGAAAAGCGTGTCCTTTTGACCAAACTGCCATAAACACAGACATTGATGTGCTCCCTGTCAACTTTGCACTTCTTCAGTTAGTTGGAGCCAAGGTACCAGATCATCAGTCAATAAAATTAAATAATCTAGGTGAGAATAAACACTATGAAGTGGCAAAAAAAAATGTGTTGAAGATTTGGCACTCCACTTAAAACCACTAAGTGGTGGTAAAAGTGTAGCTAGTTTGAACCAGAATGCCCCGAGCCTTCCAATGCAAAGGAAGCTAGTTACTCTTGTAAATTGTCAACTGGTGGAGGAAGCTATGTGAGCTGCCCGTTCACTAGGAGAAAGAACTGTGACAGGACTGATCCTGCAGTACCAGAACCCTCAGCAGCTGTCTGCCAACCTGTAGCCTGCTGTCAGGGCTCAAGGATGCCAGTCTCTAGGGCCAGGTAAAATAGATCACCATCTTAGTGTTTTTATTGGTTATCAGATCTTGAGGATGCCAAGTAAAAAATCCTGCATATCCTGACCTAGTGAAGTATATAAACATAGTATGTTCTTACAGCCAGTGCTTTGGAAGAAATTTCTGATTTATTTCTTAGGCATCAGTGAGATAGCGGGCTCATCTGCAGTTTGAACATTAGTAAACTGGTTCAGGAAAGGGCCTACAGCTGCACAGGTGTGCATCATGGCATGATATAAATAATAAACTTTTGATTGATTGTTAACACTTGGGAAACATAAGAAATATTGAAACCAACAAGAAGTTTCTTTGTGATCAGTGCTATGGATGTCCTGTTTAAAACAATCTCTATACCAAGTTATAAAGTACTTAACTGTTAATTGGGAGATTTGTTTTTTGATTTAGAACTATAATTCAGATAAAATTTATATAGGAAACAAAAAAAGAATTAAAATTTGAAGCACGGAAAGGTGAAGCATGAGGTTCAAAACAGGGATGACCAGTGTCTGCTAGAGCAAGCGGAGAAGGCTTCCTGGAGGACACCATGTCTGAGAGGGCCTGAAAATAGGTGAGGGCTTGGAGCTTTTATTTTAAAACAGTCATCTTCCCAATGAGTGCATCTTTAGGAAAGTAAACACAGGGATGAAGGTTGGATCCCAAGCATTTCGAGTTGCATTAGAGCCCAGGATTAACGGAAGAATGATTAAAGATACAATTAAAAAACATCTGAAGCCATGGGCTGTGTGTGGACATGTGTGTGGGTGTTATGCATGCCTGTGGAGATCAGAGGTACACATATGTGCTGCAGTGCCTAAATTTTTATGTGGACTTTGGGGATCAGAACTCAGGTCTGTATGCTTCTTCCCCAAGGACTCCTGGTCTGCACCATCTCCCCAGCTCCTGGTGCCGTAAGTTTTTTAGAAGCTTAAACAACATTCAAAGGTTTTGTCTTCTTTGAAAAGGAGATGAATACGTTTACAGAGTTGGAGAGTTTTATCTCTTCAGTTTTTAAAAATTACACTTATTTATAGCATATGTGAGGATGCATTGCTAGAGTTCTTATGTGGAGGTCAGCGGATCACTTGTGGGAATGAATTCCCTCCTTTCACTATGTGAGTCCTGGGGATTGAACTCAGGTCATGAGGCTTGTCAGCAAGTCCCTTTTCCGGCTCCTAAAACTTAAAATGCATCAGAATAACCTTGAGGATTTAAAATAGTCTGCGGGTCCCCTGGATTAAATTTCCCCTCTGGTCTTTATCAGTATAGCCACAGGTGGTAGCAGAGAGCACAGTAGGTACCACGGGGTGGACAACCCCCACAGACAGGCCAGAGGATAAGGCTGTTTTCTGCTTTAGGTCTTTCATACAACCAATGCCAATCAACCACAACATCAGGCTTCCCCAGAATCCAAAGGGCAGTGTGGACAGAGATATTGGTGGTTTGTCTCTTGTGCTTTCTCTAGACATCTTCACTGTCACTCCTAATCAAAACACCCTCTACCAGGCCCCCAAACTTTCTACAAGCCTGTAGGAAGAGGGCGGATCTGACAACTTCCAAGGCCACATAGGAAAAGGCTTCTGTCTGAGAAGGGTCAGGGCTGTAAAGCTCCCAGCAAACTATACTACTGATAGATTGATTACGTCAAATTTGGAAGTGATGGGTGAGTTTCCCTAGCAACAAACAGGAAGCTGAATCTAGGTGAGAGTGGACTCTTATCCGAGTAGGAAGCAGCTGGGGACAGGTGGGAACAGCCCAGATCTACTTCCTTAAGGAAAGGGAAGTGACACACACCTGCAGTCTGGACTTCAGCTGCTTCGGAAGGCAATGGCAGTCTCTGATTGGGGGAGGGGTTGGTTAGTTGGTTAAGTATTGACAGATATTTATACTAACATTACTTACTACTAGATACTTTAGGATAAAAAAAAAAAGTGTTATGTGGGCATTGGAGTAGGGGTTCAAAAACCTGAGTATTGATGCAGTGTGGGGAGCTAGAGTTTCCAAAGGGAACCATGGGGTCCAAAAGGGACAAGCTAGTGTGGGGTCATGGGGACTTTCAGCAGAGCCAGCTCTCATGAGGTGACGGTACTACAGTTAGCCAGGTGTCATCCTGTGTACGATAATATCCTGCCCGTGAATCAGGCATCTGCAATGCACATTCTATCACCCAGGACTTATCCCTGCCCGATACCCAAGGGCCATCATGGTAATGTGTGGAAGTCTGCCCTTCTATCCACGTTTATCAATTAGCCTGTGGTGAGCAGAGTCACAGCCCAAGCTTCTCTAGGCCAGTCCCTCCATCCACACACCCCCACTGTTACTACAGAGGACCAACACTGAAACTTGGGGTCTGGAGAAGGCCCCAAGTTTCCCTCAATTGAAGATCCTCCTCTGACCAGCTGTGTCAACTGGTCAACATGGCTCTTGAGCACTTTGGGTAGAACTATTCAGAACAGATGGAGAGCACGTAAGTTCAAAATGGACCTCCAAAAACTTAGTCTCATTACTATTGCAGCATTAACTGTGACATGAATACTAATGATGAAATTATTCTATTTGGATGTATGGATTAAGTAAAAAATACAAGTACAATTAATTTTCCTTGTTTGTTTTTTTCTCTCCAAAATGGGCTAAAAGGGCTGTGGGGAGTAGCTCATTGGTAGAGGGCATGTTAAGAATACCTACTGCTCTTGCCAAGTTGAGTTCAATTCCCAGCACCTGTGTAGAGCAGCCTAGAACTCCAGCTCCAGGGGGTCACCTGCACTCCCATGCACACACCCCTCCACATATACAAATAATGAAAAAGAAAAATTTCGTTAGATATTTAGTTACAATATGTGTATGTGTGTTTGCCTGAGCATATGTATAGGTATGCGCACTGTAGGAGTCATGGAAGTGAGAACAGGTGTTGGATTTCCTGGAACAGGAGTTGCAGACTATTGTCTACGTGTAGCCTCCATGTGGTTGCTGAACCCAGGTCCTCTGACAGAACAGTAAGTGCTCTTCACCACTGAGCCATCTCTCCAGTCTCCCCCCCCCCCCATAATACATTTAAAAAATAAATTAAGTTAAATTTGTTTTTGTTGTTTAAGACAGGATCTCTCTATGTAATCCTGAAATTCACCATGTTGGGTGTTGTGGAATAATCTTTTTGTACCCTGTGAAGATGCGTCACTTATTTTGGTTTAATAAAGAACCAAAGGGCCAATTGCTAGGCAGGATTTCCAGACACAGAAGATGCTGGGAAGAAGGTCTGAGTTGTGAGGAGATGTCAGGGACACAGATTAAGCAACATGGGCTTTACAAAGTAAAGGTAATTGAGCCACGTGAAAGAATGTAAATTAAAAGATATGGGTTAATTTAAGTTATAAGAAATAGTTAAAAACAAGCCTAAGAGCCGGGCGGTGATGGCTCACGCCTTTAGTCCCAGCACTCGGGAGGCAGAGACAGGTGGATCTCTGTGAGTTCAAGCCAGCCTGGTCTACAAAACTACACAGAGAAACTCTGTCTCAACCCCCCACCCCCAAAAAGCCCAAGCTACTGGCCAAGCTTTCATAATTAATAAGAAGTCTCCAAGTAGTTGTTTGGGAGCTGGCAGGCAGGACAGAAAAAGTCCAACTGCAGTAGACCAGGCTGGCCTTGAACTCACAGATATCTGCCTGCTTCTGCCTCCCAAGTGCAGGGGATATATTTGTTCCCCTTGGCTAAAAGGGAAGTGGAAACACCTTGGTGGTAAAGAGCACTTTCCTAGCATGAATGAGGTCCTAGCTTCAATGAAAAAAAGTGGCTATTAGAAAAATTAAGAACACAAAACTGGTTCACATTATACTCTTATTGTGAACCAGCAGCATAGGCTCTACACCTGATGGATTGCCTTTATTGAGCTGTGTGCGCTCTGCACTGCTTCCTATCACATCACTCCTTACCACAAAAGACAGAATGAGGATGGTGAGTCCTGTCATAGGACCCATGCACTCC